GGGGGCGGCTGTAAAAAACCTTGAAGCGGCAGCAGCTGGGGCAGCCATAGACCCCGACGTCATACAAGATGTACTCAAAGTAGCCATGCAGCTGGTCTTTCAACTTGGCGGGTGCCCGCTTTTCCAAAACCCCCTGCCGCTGGTCTTTCAACTTGGCGGCTGCCCGCTTGTCAAACACCTCCTGCAGGCACAGGAAGTCCAGGTTGGCGGGAAAGAAGGCCGAGACCTCGTGGTCGAAGGCCTCGTCTGGGTGCCGCCTCTTGCGCGCAGCTGCCTTCTTCACTACCGAAGCCTTGTACAGGAGCTTGCTGTTGACGCCCGGCTCTCCGCCGCCACTGCCATCTGGGCTGGCTCCTGCCGTGCCTTCACCAGGGACTCCCTGGAGGCTGAGGGGCTGCCCAGGCTCCCTGAATCTCCATCCCGCTGGTTGTGGTTGGGTGTCTGGCCCCTTGGGCCTCCACTGGCCCCATTTCTGGCCTGGCTACCAGTGACAGGCTCATCAACTTCAGGTGGCCGGCCCCCCTCCTCGCCACCAATGCGCACAATGCAGGCATCCTCGAGGGTGGCACCGTCGGCCGGGTCCCCAGAGGCCGGGCCATTGGCAGCCTCTTCACTGGAATGACGCCCGCCATCGCCCTTGTATTCCACAGAAGCTGTCCTCTTAATGCTCCCAGGCACAGCCCTGACTACGCCATCACCACCCTGCGGTGACACCAGGCTGCTGAAGCTGGCCGCGCTGATGGAGGTGTTGGTAGGTGAATCGATGTAGATTTTGATCTGCGGCCGGGCAGCCCCATTGCGGATTCTCTGCCCAATCTCTTTGGCCCGTGCTTGGGTGTTAAAGAGGTTGTTTGTCTTTGCAATCGAGTTGGGGAGGAGGCACAGGTTGGCAGTGGCGAAGCAGAAGCTTTTGCCAGCTCCTGTGCCCTTCCATTCACTGAGCAGAACTGCCCCGCCGGCCGGGCTCTTGTCTTCCAGCCGCGAATAGATATAGGGCCGGCGGACAGACTGCAGAGGGGACCAGAGGAGGAAGCCAAGAAATGCGAAGGGCAGCGCGGCCACGAGGAGGGCCAGGTAGACGGGCGTGAAGAGGTGGGAGCAGAGCAACTGCAGGTAGCACGGGTCGTCTGGCCGCTGGCGCTTCTCACAGGTGGCGGGTATGAAGGCGGCCAGAAGCCGGTCCAACAGCCAGTAACATGGGAAGATGAGGGCCCAGGACACGGCGTGCAGGGCGGACAGACAGCTCGTAGGAAAGGGGGTCGTGTACAAAACCATCGCAGCTCACTGGGCGCCGCAGCCGGCCCTACTACATGGTGTCTGTGGCAGGCGGGAGGGGTGGGAGGGTGGGGGGCAACTGGAGGAGGGGTCACCTCCTGGCGAGATGTGACTCTAGGTGGTCAGTAGCAAATGTTGACCCACTGGTCATGATTCTCAGCAAGCCATGCTGGGCCACCAGGGCCTGCTGGTGAACCTGCAGAGACAGAAAGCGAGGGGCTTTTAGTGATCTTTAGGGCAGCAGGGCCGATGTCGGGGCTGTCCTGGCTCACCCTATTCCTGCTTCCTCCAATGGCAGCAGGCTGTTCTGAGGAGCAGCAGGGTCTCACGGGCCTTGGGGGGCAGGAGACAGCCCAGCACACTTTGCTTGCCTGTATGTGCTTTGTTCTCTTGGGATAAACGGCTTAAACACATCCGTCTCTGACTGACTTCAATCTTGGTCTTGTAACCTAATTACTTGAAAAATGGTTCAGGGGGAACAGCAGATGGCATAATGGCTACCCTGGACTCTCATGTAGTTGACCACAGTTCGAGTCTTGGACCTGGTGGCTTAAATTCATGCCGGGCGTGTGTGCGTGTATGCCCAAGATCCCAAGAGGAGAATAGAGGAGAAGGGATTGTAGTGTGGCCATTCCCCCTGGTGAGGGGGGGTGATTTCTCGCTTTCTGTCTCTCTGTCTCTGTCTGTCTTTCTGGAGAGTGCACGCATCCTATGGCGTGAAAATGCCCCCCACCTTTAGCAAAAAAAACTAAAAAAAAAAAAAAAAAAGAAAGAAAAAAGAAAGAAAGAAAGAAAGAAAAGAAAAAGAAAAAGAAAAGAAAGAAAAAAGTTTCAGGATTTTGGAGGGACACAGCTTGTGGGTGAAAAGGGGGGCAGGCCTGGGATTCTAGAGGATGCCCAGGCCAACAGTGGCCCAAAACAGCCAGAGTCCACCAGGAGTCAGGGGTGTGTTTAGAATGGGTAGGCAGGTCGCTCTAGGTCAGAGGAGCTGCAAACACCTGTTGTTAAATACCAGCTAGTCCAGGTCAGAGTGAGAAAAACTAGCAAAAAAACAAAAAGTTCCAGAGGATCTCAGGTGAGGGCAGCATGACTGGCAAGGCTCTGAGTGGAGGGTGGCCCTACCCACGGCCAGGCTCTCACCGCAGCCCCAGCCTACAGCCTGAGATCAAGCCCTGTGTTCCCACCCCCGCTGACCTACAACAGGAACCCTCCTTCAGCAAGGATCCAGGCAAAGTCTGTGACTTAAGATCTTCTAGAATGACCTGAGTTACCCACTTCGAGGAGACCCTAACAGTCACTGTGACTTAGGGAAGCTCTCTAGGGCTGTGTGGGTCTGGCCTAAGCTTTAATTGCTTCCCACAAGTCCTCCAAGTGTAGCCATGGCCATCTGGGTAGTCACCCTGGGCCCCAGTCCTAGACTGTGCAGGAGTCACAGTGGGTCTCACAGAGGGCCCCAGGGCCTAGCCTGAGGGAGGCCACCAGGTGCATTTATTGTGCTGAATATAAAATCAATAAAGACAAGAGTCTGGAGTGTTTGCCCAACCTCCCAGGGCCTGTGGCAGTCATTCTGTGGTGAAGTTTGTATAGTGTAATCCAGTCATAGCCAAAGCAGCTGCTGTTCACCTTCCGACCACTGCCACACCAACCTAGCACAGTGCTGGCCCTGGCACGTTGGTGGTTCTGAACCTCTGGAGCCATCCCTCCTGGTCCCACACCCTCTCCTCTTCCTCCTGAATCCTTGGTCATCCCAGGACCCCATAAGGAGGTCTCTTATCCCTCTTGTAAGCGGCCCCACCCCTGCAGTTATGTCACAAATGGTTGGGTCCACCTTCCCAGTAGACTGGGAGCATCTGGAAGGAAAGGACTGCACAAGGACACTGGAGCCCCAGGCCACACTGGCAGATACTCGGGAGGTGGCCTGAAGGAGTAAAGGGTGATCTGCGACACCTCTGGGCAGAGAGGAGTAGCTGTTTTCCTGCCCATCCATCCACGGTGTGAGGAAGGGGTTGTGCAAGGCTTAGCGATGCCCTAAGCATACCCCTTTGGCCTCAATCTCTGGGGCTGACATGGTGGGGACAGGCCAGGGCTAATGTCTAAAGATGAGCCTAAGCTGGTGGCTGTGCCTGATTCTGACGAATGCATGTCACAGGGATTTTACTTTCTTCAGGAGAAATTACCCTGAAGTAAATGCTGCCAGGTTGCAGGAGGGAGCTGTGGGTGTGTGTGGCAGAAACAGCCAAGCGACCAGGAGCAGTGGGAAATGGCTCCTTCTTAGCCAGCCCTGTGCTAGACCTGGGAGAAATCTGGGGCCTGTTCTGTCTCGTTCTGGTCAATGTTCTCAGCTCAGTGCTCAGAGGGGTTGGGGTGTCCAGAGGTTGCCTCTGTCTTCCATCTGCTTGGGAAATTCCAAGATGTAGTCACTCATTATTTCTTTAAAAATCCCAGTAATTTCACTGCCACGAGATGATTCTGACCGGGAGTGGGGTGACTACTTGCTCTCCTGCACAACTGGGTGGGTTGGACCAACCTCAACAAACGTGCAACCCTCACTGTGGGGCCACTAGTGTCAGACAGGCCAGAGTGACAGCTGTAGGAGAGGATGGGAGCCACCTATGTGGAGTCATCTCTGCTGGGCCAGTTGAGGCCAGAGGAGGAACCTATAGGTCCTGTCCCAGTGGGGGACAACGTGAGGCAGGATGGTGTCACCACTACCACCACCCTGTCTCCAGCAGCTCCTGCACCAAGATCCTAGAGTAGGGTTTAGGCCAGACTCTTGGACCCTCTAGACATTGCCCCAGATTCACAGATGAAGCCCACTCCCAAGTCTCCCTCACTTCTCTCCTCATCTCTCTGGCCTAAGATCACCAGCTCAGTGACGCCATCTTCTCCTGACTCCTTTGGCACCTCTCACTGTCTCACCCTTTCTCAGCTGCAGCCCCAACCCACTGTCCTGAACACAATCTGATTATTTCCTTCCCTTTGGTGGTCCCCCTGTTTTGGGGGACAGTCTCTGTCTAGGGGCCCTTTGTGCTCCTGCCTCTACCAACTTCTTCACTCACCCTCAGCCTAGCTGCACCAGCAGGAGAGGCCTCCAGCATCCCAGATGCACCCTGTTGCCCGACTGCCAGGCCTTCACACCTGCCACCTCTGCCTGAAACTCCTGCCCAGTCTCCTGTCAGCTGCTCTTTACCCTTTAGGGCTCAGCTGAGATGCTTCCCCTTCAGGGGCTTTCCCTGGCCCCACCCAAACTCTCTCCACACTACGTTGCCATCCTACCAGGAGCTGGACTAACATCTGGGATTCCCGGCAGACTGTGAACTGCATCGGGCCCATGTCTGTGTGGCAGAGTCCGGGATGCGGCCTTGCGCTTGTGGAGGGAAAGAACAAATGAGAAAATGAATGAATGGGCCTTGCTATCTCCAGGGTGACAGAGGCTGGGAAGGTGGAGCCGATGGGATTGTCCAGCCTCTGGAGAACTCTGTCATTGGTAGCAGGAGTCAGGCCAGGTCTGTGGTGACACTTCTGGAGAAAGGATTTGAGAGAGAGCTGTCCTGTTCACATCGCGCTGCCGTCCAAGAACTGTCTATGCTGCACGGGGTGGCTGTTGTGCCTCCATGGGTCAGAGGCAGCTGTTGCCTCGCTTCATCAAAGGGTTCCTGAAATAAATTCCTCCACCTGCTTTCCCCCGTGGCTCTTCCCCAACACTGGCCGGCCAGGGTAGGATGAACTATGAGCTGGACAGAGGGTGGGGGAGATCTTTCCTTTTCAGCTGTCCTGTGTCCCTCTTACACTTGCTCCTCTGGAGAACTCTGTCATTGGTAGCAGGAGTCAGGCCAGGTCTGTGGTGACACTTCTGGAGAAAGGATTTGAGAGAGAGCTGTCCTGTTCACATCGCGCTGCCGTCCAAGAACTGTCTATGCTGCACGGGGTGGCTGTTGTGCCTCCATGGGTCAGAGGCAGCTGTTGCCTCGCTTCATCAAAGGGTTCCTGAAATAAATTCCTCCACCTGCTTTCCCCCGTGGCTCTTCCCCAACACTGGCCGGCCAGGGTAGGATGAACTATGAGCTGGACAGAGGGTGGGGGAGATCTTTCCTTTTCAGCTGTCCTGTGTCCCTCTTACACTTGCTGAGACTCAAAAAATCCTTCCTACCCTGCCTGCAGTGCCGGTGAATGGCCAGCTTGATCCTCTGCCTCTCCTGGGCTGGGCACTGGGATATTTTTGGTCTTCATTCAGACATGATGGGATTTGCGGTGGCTGGCAGCCCTGGGGCCAGCAAACTCCTCTAAAATGAGGCAGGTTCGAGTATCTCAGGCCTTCACATCTGCCCTGAGTCCTCTGCCCAGAGCACCTCACAGGCCTCTCCTTCTTAGTGCCCTGGATAGGAAGAGCCCCCTCCAGGTGCTGCCCACCCACGCCCGCCTGCATTCCCTGCATCTAAGCACAGAAGCTGCTGACGCAGGAGACACAAAAGGGACTGCCACCGATGGCGCGGCTTCCATGGCACTGTGCTTAATTATTTTGTCTCAGGGAAATGAACGGAGGGTAAACAAACAACAACACACTAATTAGTCTGATGTACACTTTCCCACGAAAAAGGAGAGCTAGAGTGAAACAGTGGAGGCTGGCAGCTTCTCCGAGAATGCGCAAGCCCGCAGAGGGGTGGCCAGGGTGGGATGTGGCTTCCCAGGGCCTGCAGGTGCTTGGCCCCACCCCTGGCAGTCCCCTTTCTCTAGCCTGCACTCCTTCAAGGCTGGGCCAGCCCCTATTTCTCTGCATCTGTGTCTGGCTGGCAGCTCTACCGAGCAAAGTCAACTGTGGTCACCTGGTGGGGCTCAATCTCAGGAACAGGATTGCTCTTTCAGGGTTCCTGATTTAGAGCCAGCAATCCTCTCTGGGCTTGCCCTGTTTTTGAATACCAGCGTGTACTTCCAGAGTGGCCCAGAACACCACATTCCCCCCAATACCATGAGTTCCAGAGCTAAGCTGGAATACCACACAGTCAGGCCCACGGTCACTCCTGAGCCCTGGAGTCAGTGCAGGCCACACTGTGCCCCAAGGCAGGGCTCCTGGGAGTCAGCCTCCCTCTCCTAGAAGTGGAGATCTTGACTCAGCATCACTGTATCATTCAGCTAGGGTGTAGGTGTCAGGCCAACCTGAATGAAACCCCAAAGCTATCATGAGAACTAAAGGAGACC